CCCTAGACGTTGAGAGAACCTTTTATAATGTATGGCACCAAAGATTAATTTAAAAAATGACTCCTAAAATATTACTACGTAGTTGACACAATTAATTAAGTCCTTTTTATAAGATAGAAAAGGGTTAAAATACAAACTCTGACCTCCGGTTTGTACCCTCTTTGTCAGTGTGCCCCACTAGGCTCCCTTTTGCCCCCACCGTTGTTTTCTAGCTCCATGTCTGAGATCCGCACAGAATGATGCCGACCGGAGGTCTTCTGTTTAGTGCTTAGGGCTGCCTCTCCTGTGTGCTTGGGGTGGAGAGGGGGGGAATTTACCCGACCCCTCTGAAAATTAAGTTGTTGCTATATAATTATGGGTAGTAAGAGATCCCTCACAGTCTGTCTACCTTTTAGTCAGTTCGCTCTCTACCAGTGTACATGCACGTTGCGAAATAATATTATAAATTAGAACTATATTCCTACAAACCCAATTTGAGGTTTGCCAACCTCCACCTTACCATCTATGTTACTGTTTTTTCCTGGTATTTGTTATGGCTTGAACGTTTTTAGAATATGTAATAATATCGGATATTTACAATTAGTTAGAGAGTGGTTATAGTGGTGACGAAGAAGACATCGTTGACCCTGCCCTGACCATGAGTGTGATCCCAAAGAGGAGCTTGTAAAATCTGACGCCGAAGAGTTCTCTTCGAATGAAGCTGATCAGCCAACTACAGAAAAAAAGCAGAAGACAAATCTTAAAGCATATTATGGAAGAACAATTTTAAATGGTCTGCAAACCTCCAAAGTTAAACTTCCGGAACAAGAGAATATAACACATCTTACAGGTATTATTGGTACAGCAAAGCAGAGAGGAAATTATTGTACTCACCTTCCTGCTTGGAAGCCGGTCAAACGAAAAGTTGTAGTAGGCTATGCTGCGGACTTCTTCAGAAGGTAGACACGATTACAGAGATGTAAATATCATAGAACTTCGGGGGTTCTTAGGTGTCCTAACATATTCTTTGGTCTTCATTAAATCATTAAAATCTTAAGCACTGTTGCTACAGATGGCACCGGCCTCGATATTTTCCGCCCCGTCATCACTTTGATTCGAACACTGGTCATTCTAGCATGCGTTCGCTTTAGTAATGCATCTGATAGAGAAGAGAGAAATAAAACTGCTGCTACTGTTGCGATATCTTAAATATTTGAGACTTTTGTAAAAATTGCCAACAATTTTACTCTTTGGAGAATACGCTTGCATAGAAGAAATGCTTGTTGAGTTTAGGGGGCGATGCAAACTTGTATATGCCAAATAAACCTCGAAAATACGGTTTATAAATTATGGTATTGAACGATTTGAAGACCCTCTACTTTCATAAGCCTATATTTATTATGGCATGAACAGCAATGGTTCTACCCTTTCTGAAGATGAAAAAAAATAGGACAACCTGCAGAGTCTATTTTACGTTTGCCTTCCCTTATCCATGGAATAAACCGAACCATTACTGCTAACAACTGGTTTTTCATCCATTCCTCTTGCACTAGTACTAAAGAAGAAACAACCTTCGGGGCCATGAAAAAGAAAAAAAAAGTTCTGCGCAAAAAAAAAAAGAAGTGACCTCCCATTTCGGTTTTACTAAAGACCTCCCTTTAGTGTCCTTTGCGCCAAAGAAGAACAAAGTTGGTCTACTAATTTTGTTAATGTACTAGGAACCCGGTGTCTGGAAAACCCGTCATAATCGAGTTTTACAATGGAACGAAAGGAGGCATAGACTCTTTGAATGAGAGTTGTAGTGTTTACTCTTCTAGTCGACGAACCATGCGAAGGCCTCAAGCTTATTATTTCTACTCTTCTCAACATTAGCCTCGTCAATGCTTAAGTGTTATCTTATAGCTTTCCTAAAATTCCTGTGCAGAAGAGAATTGAATATATCAAAAGTCTTGCTAAAAAACTTGTAGAACCGCAACTGAACAATAGGCTGCTGACTAGCCGATTACCTCGTGAATTGCTGAACAACTCACAATTCCTTAAAAACCCATTATCAGCCATTCGTCCACAACTTATAAAAAGGTAAGTTAGGTCCAAGAGGCAAAAACAGAAAGACGAGATTTATTTGTGCTGTACTGTAAGTCGTTGTGTGGATTGTACTCAATACATTTTTTTTAAGTAGTTATTTTTTTAGATATACTATGTTGTTTAATAGTTAGGATACTTCATTAAAAGCGTTATTACTTACACAGCATTTGCTTATGTTTCAGTTTGTTCAATTACCAAAATAACACAGAGTGCCAATTTTGTGTGCATTCTATATAAACATTAAAATTTACATCTATAAACATTTCTTGTAATTTTAATTTTTAATGTATGCGTTCATAAGAGATCCTAAATTAACAAAAATTAGGTTTAAAAAAGGTTTTTTCCAATTTACCTTCAAAAAAAAAACATTTAGAAAAATGGGGTTTGCTAAACCCCACGTTGCTAAACGGGTTTAGGTACTTTCCACCGTCCCAGGCTAGATGGCGAACCCAGGTTCGAAAATTTCCGCTTTTTTCAGTCTATTAAACAGTCATTGCACTCCTTTAAGAGGACCCACTAGCGGACAATCCTGCTTCAACCTCTTACATGAAGGGTAAATTCAGCTTAAGTGGTTTAAGATTTTAAATACTTGTTCGTAGTATGCCAGTGCCTAAAAAAGGACAAATAATAACTACTGCCGGCATCCGTTTCTAATAATGAAGGTATTTGTGTCTAATATCAATAGTAAAAGGACAATGGAAAAAATATTTATTTTAAAACTTGCAAGCTAATAAAGTATCTTGGCTGCTATGAAATACTGAGACCATCAAAACTTAGTGCCTAGTCCTATTAATCTAGTACCACCTCTTAAATAACTATTGGAGACGGTAGTTTTTAAAAGACAGAAAAAAATGGTTACCAAAGTTTATTTACCCCATGCAGGGCAGCATGGTAATGTGAAAAGATCTTTCACTACTTTACAAATTCTACGAAGTTATAAATGATACCTAAAAATTTACTTTCAAAAAAATCCTAGGAATTATTTTAATGGATGTAAGAAAAGGTATTTAAGAACGTTTGCCTCGTGGCCTTTATTTAATCCTAGAGTGTGGACCGGGGTTACTCGTACCAGAGACTTTTTAAGATTGCCACGATTTACTTATCGGTGAGACTGCAATCTATATTCCCTCGTGTGGTCTTATTTTTTATTTTCTCCCTTCACAGATGTATATTGTAACGACTTTAGAGCAATAGTAGGTTCAGTTTAGTAGTAAAAAAGCAGCGTGATAATTTAAAAAGAGTCTAAGGTTACGCCTTTTACTCCGGTTGGTACTTTAGGGTTAAGTTTAATCTCTTCAAATTTTCTGTGGCTCTAGTTAAATTAATCCAATATTTTTAAAATTTATGAAAAATGGTACCACCTGCCTTAATAAAGAAGAGTTTCCCAATGCTTTATAGTTTCTTCTTTGCTTTTTTAAATTTATATAGCAGATTTTCCCATGTTTATCGACACTATTATAGCAATATCCGCAAGATATGTTTCACTATTTTTTTCTCTTAAGAAATCTATTATAATAGACTCAAATGTTAGTTTCCAACTTAAGGATGTAGAAATATAGTACAAAAGTGAAAGTTAAAAGTTACTACTGTAGACAAAAGTTTATTTGTATCTTAACGGAAAGAAGGCACTCAATAACTGCCTTAACCTAAAGAGACGATATTCCCTGGTTTTAGATACTATGTATTTCAGTTTCATATTTGACAAATTATAGAGTAAGAATCAACGCACACCATATGCTATTAACAATTCAAAAAAAGGATGGCTTTTTCTACAGCTGTCGTACCCAAAAAAAGTTTGTTACTATAGAACAACTCAACGACTACATTTTTAAAATAAGTTATAAAGATTTTTTACTAAAGCCTTATATTTTATTAGCATGCCGACTTACACGGAGAGCTGAAAGTTTTAACTACTGAAGAATTAATGTTATTTAGAGAAAGATATTTCCTAAAAATAAGATTACCTTTGAAGCTTCTGGTTTAATTGCCAGTCTCTCACGCTCCTTTTCTCTGTCTGAAATAATTAAGAGGGGTTATGACATATTGACCTAACTTTAGTGTTAATTTTTGTTCTGCTTTTAGATAAATTTATAAATAGAATTAGTAGTGTGCGTATCTAGCCCTAAGCTCTTTTTTTTTTCAATGCCCTAGATATATTTTTTATTTAAATACCTTTTTCACGCTTGTTATGAGATAATTCTAAATTTGTTATTACCCTAGGGCTTTTTTAAAAAAAAACACAACCTTTCCTATGGTGTTTTATACTTATCTGTTTTTCTATCAAGGGCCAGCAAATTTAAATTGTACATAATACATGTTTATAATCTTCTTTAATTACAAACATTATTTATTATGCACAATAGTGTTCTTATATTTTTCCGCAACAATTGAAAAGTTTTTGTTTCGCTTATAACTATAGATAAGTTTGGAAAAGTTCCTTATTTCTCCTCTTTTGTCCTTGTTACTACCCGAAACCCCTCCTTGTCCAAGAAAAAATGAAATGCGCTTTCCATTAACTTCGTTACATAGTCTTAATTTTTGTATGAACCTTTGTAATCGGTACAGTAAAGGCGTCCTTAATTTGTAATGAAAATGTTAAGGGACCAATTGTTGTACTTTCCGCTTAGCGTCTTTATAAGGCTTTGCTCCTTTTATAAAAAGAACAGGTTTTTTTTGCACGTTGGAGTCATGGAAGGCAAGCACTTCTTGGATAATATTCATAGCTTTCCACTATATTAATAAGAGATGAGATTTTAAAAGCCGAATACCTTTTAATAAAAATTTTAATTTATCTGATATAGCACTTCTATCAGTGTTAGTTTTACCGTACTGCTAACCCCTTCTCTAATCAGTCATGAAACCCTAAGGTTAATAATTACACCCGGCAACCTGCTAGTTGGTAGGGAGTCGTAAGTTCAAAAGTTTAAAATTGGCTGGCGTCGTGCCCAACGATCGTGTAGGGAAGAAAAAAATTTAATAAAAGAATTTAAGAGTTGCTGGTAAGTACGCTTTGTAAAACATGTATATCGAACTCTTAAATTTACTACTAGCAGAAATTAAGATTCTTCAAGTAATAAACTGTTATTAACAGCTGCTTTGACAGTATATAACATTTTAGCATCACAGAATGGAATTTTTTTCTACTGAGCTCTACCAATTTTTTGCAGTATTCCGTTCCGACTTTATTAAAAGTTACACAAGATTATATTAACTATTTTAAGGTGGTTCATATATTGTTATTTTTTTTTCTTTCTTAGGGCAAGATGAAACCCAATTTTCTCATCAGAGGCTTATTTCTACTCAAAATCTTTTACTTCACACTTTATTATTTAAAGACGTAACTAAAAGAAAGTAGTATAAACTATTTATTTATACTTCAACTTATTTTTTTAAATAATTCTTTTTAATTTTTCAAGTTAATTTCTATTAAAATACTTCACGTAAATAATAATAAAGATACTAGTTAAAGTGCCTTACCATTAGAATAGAGTGCTTTTATAAATTTGCTTAAAACTTAATAATTTAGAGCTTGTTTTCCTATGCTCACCGCAAATTTTTTAAAGGAAGTTGATGAATTGGAGCATATTGAATCCAACGGTGGTTACAAACTCTGTGTAACATTTATCGATTTAATAAAAATAATTTTGTAAAGGAAAATATATGAAACGGTAGTTGGGAAAGATTATAATTAACTGGTTAAATTTATTTAACCGTTTAAAGAACTTATTAAAAATTTTATTGCTTAACAAAGACAGATTATTCAGCTAAACTTAAATTTTTTTTTTTTTTATTCGTTTATTAGTTTTCAAAAAAAACTATTTAAATAAGCAGACAGTTAAGAAGTTCTGAATGTTGTGTAACTCTGTATCTATAAGAAAAAGTTATCAATATTTTAATTAGTACACTTTAAGTTGTTTATGTCGTAAACTTTGTATAGTTTACTATTTTAATAACGTCGTACCTTAGACAATTATTTTTTATAGTAATGTCTTCTTTGTCTATATTAATTTGTGTTTTGTAATATAGTAAAGAACTTTGAAGATTTGTGTCATGTTATTAAAAAAGTTGGCAATTGCCGTGAAGGTACTTTTGTTAGTATTCTATTGAATATCATTTTTCATTAGACTTTTAAAAATCAGTTCCTTCTCGTAAAGAAGCTAAAGAAATTTTTGAATCTTTTACTTGCTCTGTAGGTGAAGAGTATTTGATTTCAAGCCTTGCAAGTTTAAATAATAATCCCTCAGAAATTAAAATAGATAAGCGTATGCTTATACTTAAATACTTTGTAAAGTATAGAACGTGCAATATATTTTATCTAGAGCTACATTAAAGTAATACTATATTAATAAGTAGGAAAAATTAACTCCTTAAAAACGGTATAAAAATATAAACCATTTAAAATATAATTTTTTAATGTTAACTACTTCTCTTGTGTAGGTAAAAGTGATAAGATTTAAAATAAATAATATGATGAACTTTTTCCAAAGTTTTATTAAATTTTCCAGTTACTTTAATCATATATAGCACTTCAACCCGGCACTCCCTCTGCTGAGAAGTTGAAGTTGGAAAATTATCCCAATTATGTTGATTTGTTCTATTCTATAACCATTACATGTTATTAGCAGTTATCTAATTGTTAATGTAAAGATCTTGTTTAGTTAAACTATTTTTTTAATTATAGTTTGGTAAAATTAAGTTTTTAACCCCCAAAGTATATTGTATTGAGTAGCTTATAGCAATTAATTATGACGCCTTTACAATTTTATTAGTGTATTTTAATTAGTTTTTAATGTTGTATAAGCCAATCAGTGAAGAGTTTGGCTAAATAGCTTCTCGCTCTTCTTTAGCACACATCCGAAACTTTGAAAGAAAATACCGACATCCTCAAAGGTGCACCAGATAAATTTATATCGGCGCGGGATCAGTGGGTCCTGATACCGCTATCTCCTGTTAATTGTCATAAAGTTTTTTTTTCAGGTTATGAACAACAGAAAGCACGTATTAAAGTTAACTATTTATTCGTGATTATTGCCCACATTACTTAATAAGCACTTAATAATTTTGTAAATAAGATTACCATATACATTTTAAACCGAATTTTTTATAAGGCAAGCTAGCGAAAATTATTACTCGTCTAAGAATACTTTGAAAAAAGTTATAGGCTTCAAACGAAGAGGAGGAAACAATAAGTTATCTTTACCACTTTTACTATTTTCTTTTTATTAATTTTACAAAGTAGGTTTGTAAGTCCAGTTATTAAAACTACCGCAGGGACAAACTACGAAAAGTTACTTTTCCTTTTATATTGTTGAGTTCTTACACCGATTTAAAATCGGGTGCATACCAAAAAGACCCTATGAATCAGAATCGGATCCCCGTTATGCTAACTTAGATCCAAAGTTGGTAGAAATTATAAACAGTGAGGTAAATAATAAACGTTACTTTATTACAGCCATTATAAAAACTAGTTAGGCTTATAATATAAATTATACTAAACTTTTAAGAACTTTTTTCAGTTTACTAAAAACACTATAAGATAATGGACAAAAGGCCTGATGTCACGTGGGACGACATCGCAGGTATTTTCAGGGTCACCTTAGGTACCCATTTGCCGGAGCCCAGAACTTTTGCTATAACAGGGCTTGAGTTTGCCAAGAAAACCATTCAAGAAATAGTCGTTTGGCCGATGCTAAAACCGTCAGTTTCTTTACAAGCGCTCTAACTCGCCTTACTGACGTACTCATTGGCTAGTGACATATTTTGTGGACTGCGCAGCCCGCCTAAAGGACTTCTCCTGTTTGGCCCGCCAGGTGCATCCCTACTAGTGCGCTCTTTTCTTGTAATTTTTATTATTGTTAACAGGAACCGGTAAAACATTGATAGGGAAGTGCATCGCTGGCCAGTCGGGTGCTCTATTACCTTTTTACTTGGCACACATTGTATTAAGGCTCACTCTGTAAACTTCTAAGGATCCGTTTTCTTTAGTATTAGTGCAAGTTCCCTCACCTCCAAATGGGTTTTCTAATGATTAACAACTTTATTATAACATTATATAATTTCTTACCGATTTTTTGCAGGTTGGTGAGGGAGAAAAGCTGGTAAAAACACTATTCCAGGTAGCAAGAGCTAACCAGCCGGGTAGAAACTAAGAAACTAATTTATAAAATTCTTCATAACTACCCAATGATTATAGCTGTAGTATTTATCGATGAAATTGATTCGTTGTTGTCCGCTAGGACAGATGGTGAACACGAGTCTTCAAGAAGAATAAAAACGGAATTTCTAGTTCAGCTGGTGCTTTGTTTTCTAACCTTAATACCCCCCAGTTCGTAAAAATGGGATTATCAATTTATTAGGATGGCGCCACGTCTAACAAGGAAGAGAGAATTCTTGTGGTGGGCGCCACTAACCGGTAGTAAAAATACTAATAACCAATAAAAAACCAATTATTATGGAACACACAAACAGCCCTCATGAAATAGACGAGGCAGCGCGACGGCGTATGGTCAAGCGGTAGTGCACAAAAGAAAAAAATAATAGCTACCTACATTTAAGTTAATTGCACCAGATTATACATCCCTCTGCCAAATGATATTGCGCGGAGACGAATTGTTGAGAAACTGATAGTAGATACGCCTCACAAGTTAACCGACAGAAATCTTGAGGACCTCGTAGAGCAGACGAGCGGCTACTCCGGATCTGATATGTGCCAGTTATGCAAAGAGGCTTCTCTGGGTGCGCCTTATGGTTTAATAATAAAATGCTCATTTATTTAACAGTCCAATAAGGGCCTGTAAGGGAAGCCTTTCACTCTGCAAACGAAAATAAACTGGATATCCGAAGCATTAGCGCAGCGCACGTATAGCTATTGCCACCATACTAATTTCAAGTATAAATTATTGCATGCAATAGGTGCGGCCAATCACAATGGAGGACTTTGAAAGTGCTCTGGTGACTATCCGACCCAGCGTATCGCCGGAAGAAGTGGAGCACTGCTTGGCGTGGGACGCCAGGTATGGGAGCAAAGAGAGAATAAACATTAACTAATTCGCACAGTTTTTTTATTCGTTCAACGCTTTACTTTCCTTCTCATTTGAAGACGCCGTTTCTTGCCGGGCCGCATATTAACTTTTTTGATCGTTTTTTTCTTGCGCTGACGATTAATTAGCAATTCGTAGAGTGAACTAATCAACCACACACATTAACCGCAGAAAAAGGCATCCTATTCCTTTTAGTTGAAAACGCTGCGTCGTCCCACGTGGACTTAGCGTCGTTCTTTTTTATCCGTTTCTTTGGGCCTAAAGAAGGTGATTACAAAATAAAAAAAATAATAAAATAAAGAAACCTCCAAATCCATATATCTGGTTTTTTCTTAACCTTTTTTTGTTTGATTTTCTACATAATAATATTTAAGTATACGCCTTTTCTTATTATAATCAATAGCAAAGAAACCTTTTTTCTCCAAACTGAAGATTTTTAAGTTGATTTTTTCTTTCTTTCTCGACAGCAACGTCAAAATCGACTTGATTATAAAAGTAATGCAACCGTAAACTTATCATTACGGCAAAATTACCGTTATTATCAAAGACTTGTTTTCTCTCTTTCCTAAATTTGCTAATGGCATTCAGAGTAGCCTGTAGTAAATTATTAATGTTATTATTAGTTAAAATATAGAACTTTACTTTGTTATATTTAATTCTATATAAAATATATAAACCTTTTTTTCTTGCGCCCTTCTTTCAAGTGTTTTTTGCTGCACTAAAAAATTATTAATATTATACCAAAAATTAGTTATTAATAAAAAAAATAACAATTTTATACATTTTGGCTCTAAATATCTTTTCAAAAGCATAACGTAAAATACTTTGATATATACTTTTCACATACTTATCAAGTATATATATATTACTACGCTTAATTATATAAATAACAGTCTAAAATACCATAAGTGCTTTATAGATAACAAAAATTTAAGTAATCGACCAGCTTTAGCGAATTGCTTAAGTTCTCGTTGCTTTCTAAGCTTTTGCGACAACTCAATGGTCTCTCTTTCCTTTATTAATTTCTTACGAACCTACAATAATTATTATCCACTCTCTGCAAGAAATAAATAAATAAAGCAGAAACTTTTTGCATGTGAATATCAGACTTAAACATTTCAGCGAAATAATCTTTCGGCCGAGAAAAGTCAATCCCTGAGAGTTTATGAATATCATTGTCAAAATTTTATAAGGATAAATATAAAAATAAAAAAAGACACCAGCTTCAATAATTTTCTTTCGAGCAATAATTATGGCGTGAAGTCCCTGTTGATAACTATACCAGAAAGTAAGACAAAAAATAAAATATAATTACTGATAAATAAAGATGGTAAGTACAATTGGTTTTCTCGTTCGGTATCATCTTCAACGTTTTGGATGAGTACAGGCTATATAAAGTCTCAATAAATACTTAAACTGATGAAAAACTAAACAATAAATAATAATAAAAAAGATATACAATAATTAAAAATAAAAAAAACTCGCAAAAAAATTAATAAAGCCTTATGACTCAAATAGAATATTTATAGTGACTATCATATATAGCACTAAACCATATGGAGTTATAATAAAAATTTTGAACAGTTACTTCCTCCCAAACAAATAATAATAAGTAATTATTAAATTGAAAGATATATAGGGCTTTCATGAAAGATATAAAAAAGAAGTTTTCTGAATAAACCTTTTCACTGGTAACATCCAAACGCTCAATCCACGCAAACTGATTTGCTTGAGAAATAACTTTCAACTTTTTACTTATTCTTTCTTGAAGGTTATAATTATTTTCTGCACCTTTTGAAAGCTGTTTGTTTGGTAACTTGTTTTTAACAAAATCTTTAAAGTTTTGAGAATTTTTATTGTTTTTTTTATGCAAATCACTATTATTACAATTTTCTATAAGAGTAAAATTACTTGAAGTGGGATCTCTATTCTCATTAACTACAAGTTTACTATCAGCTTTTTTTTCTAAATTATTATCAAGTTCTTGAATGTTATTAATATTTTCAGTGCTACAAATATTTCTAATAACCACTTTGTTATCTTTATTAGTTCCAATTCCTAAAATTTTTCCAAAGTCATAGTCAGAGTCAGAACTAGAATTAGTCATTTACGTCTCGATTGTATTAGAAAAAAACAAAAAAAAAAGGACGAATATATAATAAACTAACAAATCTGAATTTTTGCAAATTGACTGAAAATAAGCATAAGTGCTAAATACTGGTCCACAGTTGTGTAAGAAATTTAACACGTGGTGTGTTAAGGTGGGCCTTCAACTGCTAGCGACCTCAATTCGGCGTTCAGTGTCTAATATTTAACTGATTTTCGTTGCATTAAGCAAAATTATTATTTTGTAGGTCCTCAGCCCATGTGTTATAGGAAGTTGACCTTTAATACTTTTTTACTCCATAAGCGTTAGAGGTTTATATTAATGAACTATTGGAGTTCCTACATTGCTTAGTATTTATGTAATGACTCCGACATACCACATGAAACTGTTTCATTAGGAGATTTTTATTTAAAGTATGTGGAAAGTCAGAAAGTTACTTTATTTTTCCGTATAGGTTTTACTTCAATTAATGGTGAAGAACTCAACTACAGACAAATTATGTCGCTCTTGTTACGGTTCATAATATAGAAGTCTGGAGTGGGTGGATAGTGGTTAGAGGAGAATAAGGGCCACAGATGCGAAAATCATATCGGCCACAGTCTTGAAATAGAGTTGTGGGCAAGGGAGTTAGTTTATTTCTTTTCTAGGTGTGTACTTTCGCTGAGGGGTGTTTTGCTCCGCAGAGAGAAATAAAGTATGTGGGCGAGCCGTTGTTTAAAAGTGGTAACCGGCGGGGGGCTGGCGTTGAAATATTTAGTAAAGGACTTCTTTCTGTGTATGAATCTTTTAGATTGTATTAATAAAGAAGCGTAAAACTGAATTAATATGCTTGAGTATTCCTTTTGGTTTATCAAACCTGGCTTAGTAAAAATTTTTTGAAAGTGTTTGTGTGTGTTTTATTGTGACTTTTTATTAAAATGTTTATTAACAGTAGCCCGGGGTAGACTTTCATACATTCTCTTTAAAAAGTATTTTAATATTTCTTTTTTTTATGTAACCAGCAAAGCCCCAGCGGGTGAGCTGCACAACGGGAAATGAAACCCGCACTTAATACTGAGCTATGGTGGCCAAAAATATCATATGATAAATATGGTAGTGGTTAGCTGGATATTAACTTTTCTTTTTAATTACTAAAGAAAATTTTGTCACACAAAGAAACAAATATGGTAAGTCTTTACACAAAGGTCAAATTTTGGTAGCTAATTGTTAAACAGATGGGTAAGGGAAGAAGTGTTGTCGAAGGGGCGAAATCCCACGGACTTGAGTTTGCGAGTCACTGCTTTTTAACCTCTGGTCTACGCCAACTGTCAACCCCCAGTAAGATAGATTTACATAATTAACCTGTTAGTTTCTTAGAAACCTACAACTTTTTGCTATGGATTTGTTATGAAATTCTTACTTACATGTTAATTATACTATTTTTTTCTTCAACACCTACCTAACTTATTAGTTATATTTACCTGCACCTACCTATATATGTATCTTTCAAATTAATACTTTATTATTATATTTATAACGTACTTTTTACATACATAGCAGTTTCTTTTTGGTTATATTGGGTTCTTTTTCCACAAAAATTCACGACAAGATCCACTCAACAACTTGTTGTCTGCCAACGCGGTTTTGAACTATGAAGTAGATTTCTAAAAAGCAAAACTTCACCAAATGGAAAATAAAAAAAATCTGGAAAAACGCTATAAAGGTCAAAGAACCTTTGAACCTAAAGTAATTACAAATCTAAAATTTTGTGCTACATCTAGACAAGAATTAGTCAATTAAAGAGGAATTCTGGGATAGTGAACTACATGAAACACCCTTAAGTATTGAGAATAGCATTAATAATAATTTCTTTAATAGAAGAAATAATTATAGTAGCAAACTCTGAAAAATTGTAACAGCAGCCATAATAGTAACTATGATAATACTAATAGTAATATAAATAATAAAAATAATAAGAAGAATAAAATTAGTAATGATAGTTGTAATAGTAAGAATTATAAACTAAAATTGTCTTCACCGCCCCAACTGCCAGAACAACAACCGTTTACCCAACCAGTATTCGGTAGAACGGAAACAGACACAACCTTCGAAGAAACAGCCAAAACATGTGCAGTCCTGGATGAACCACGGACGCGTAAAGTAAAAATCCCCCCTATCGCTCTCGTTGACAAGAAAGTGGCCTACGTTAGTGTAATCTACGAAAGCTGAGGACGCAAAGGCCCTTCCCGCCCGTGATCTTCGCGAAGGCATCCGCTTGTTGCCGTCAACTGCCGAGGACTACCGCAGTATAGTAGCACTACTAAGGAGCGTTCTTGGCAACACTACTGTTATCAGTTGCCCGAGGGCAAACCCGTCAAGATCGTTCTTCAAGGCTTTTACACCAATCTACTTATAGTCGACGTTGAAACGGCGCTACGTACTCAGGAGGATTCTTCACCCCCCCCCCCACTTTGCACGACATTCTACAATCCTCCCAAACGCTGAGAACCGCCATAAGCGGCCACTGCACCGGTTCTTGTATACTTGACGAAGAAGGAAGGACCTGCGGCCTACACATTTCAATCATTATGTCATCTGCAAATAAGCTTCGAACCACTTCGTAAGAGCGACCACATGGGACAGTGTCATCGCTCTCAGCGCTTCGACCATAGCGCACTAACTGTGCCATCAGTCCACTCTGCGCCAAGTGTGGGGAAAAACCATCTAACGACTCGATGTGAGAAATCACGAGAGTTCCCTTCCACACTGCAAATTACCGAGGGTGTTGAAAAATCTTCGAAAAATCGTTTCTCCGCCACCCGCACGTCAACAACCCACGGGAACGCATTCAGCAACACCGACGATCTCTTTTGCAGCCATGATGGAGCAAAACCTCATGCACCGCAACCTACTCGACAACTAAGATTTATTGCTTCGAATCTCATTGGCGAGGAATGGTACCACTCGAAACTGCTTTTGAAACATTTCATTGAGCGGGTTAGCAACCTGACGACCTCAAATGGTTGTTAAATCCCGTACATTACGCCACCTGAAACTCTTACAGTAGAACGCCAACGGTGTGCACTGCAAAAAGGAAGATTTGCTGCGGCTGTTGCAGAGTAAAGATACGGATGTCATGTTGTTAAGCTAGACGCGCTTGAAAGCAGGCGATGGGCTAGTATTCTGCAGCTACACAACGTACCATCTTGACCGTCTTGACAGATGCGACGGTGGAGTAGCTATTCTGGTGTGGCGAAATCTACCGCGCCACCCGATTGCGCTCCCAAATCGAAAGGGCGTGGAGGCCGTGATGATCCAACTCAATTTGAGTCGAGGCAGACTAACGTGATATCCGCCTATAAAACTCCCAACATGGCGCTGCTTACAAGTGATCTGGGTAGCTGCCACAACGCGACTTGCCCATCGTTCTTTGTGGTGACTTTAACTGCAAACGCGCTGCTTGTAACAGTCGAGTTGAAAATTCGAACGGAAAAATTGAGAAATACGCAGGCCAACACAACATACGCGTGCTGGAACCTCAACGTCCTACGTACATGGAGAAATGGACAATTCCCCTCGACGTAGCGATTTTTAGAGACATACACCAGTGGGCATCAATCGCAGAGCTAATGCGCTCTCATTCGGACCATCTGCCCGTCTTATTTAGGTGAGGCGGAGGCAAGGCTACAGAGAAACACTGGACACGGTCACTCATGGACTGAATAAAAACTTACAGCTGCGATTGAAGCATTGCTATCCCCCTTTGACTCACCCTCTATTAGAAGACGCAGTTAATATTTTTGAAGGCGCACTGACAGTCGCGCACCCCACCCCGACAACCAGCCGCGATGTCGCGAGTCACCCTGGCGCCTACAAGATTGTTTGATGAGCTTTATTCGTCAACGTCGTCGGTATACGTCTGGCCGCTGCTACGCAGAACCCCGACCACAAACTGTTTCTAAAACCGTTTTTACCGACACATTAAATAGGAGCTGGCTGCCTTTCTCTATAAATCGCGAAGAGGTCACTCGACGACACAACAATTTTCGCGCTTTGCTGAAATCCACAGGCGTCTTATTTCTCGATGTTGAAAAGGCCTTGGATAGCTTATGGCAGAGGGTCTCCTACGCAAACAACGCACGTTAGGTACTCCGTTAGCTCGTTTCTACGCGGACGCCCCTTTCGAGTAAGAGTTGGGGCTGCCCTCTCACCATTCTATTGACAGCTGGTGTTCCGCAAAGTTCTCTGCTTCACCCCTGCTCTTCTCATTATACATTTGAGTTATTCCACTCCCTGAGAACCGTCACACCCACGTTGCACTCTATGCCGATGGCACTGCAGTTTACGCTTCCTCAAAGAGTCCCTCATTATTACGGCGACACCTGCAGGGTTAATGAAAACGTTTGCCAACTGGTGTCGGCAGTGGGGAGTAAACATTAAGGGGACGAGGAGCAACGCAATCCTCATCTCAAGAAGATTCATTACGGAACCCCCGCCTCTAACCCTTGAAGGTGTTAAGATCTCATGGAGCTCTCAGGCCAAATACTTGGGCGTCATCATCGATAAACGACTACCTTGGAGGCAGCACGTAGAGTTCATTACGACTAAGGTCAAAGCGCTAATTCACACATCTAACCCGCTGCTGTTTGCTAAAAGCACAATGTCCTTGCGCAATAAACTGCACCTTATGGCCTAAGCATCTGTCGCTTGGACACATGATAAACCGTCGACGATTGCACCCCTCCAGACGCTGCAAAACAAGTTCCTGCGACTAATGACGATACGTTACCTAACGACCTGAGTTTGGAACGATTTGAAATCTCTTATCGAAATGTAACTTCAGTTTTTTTAAACGTGTTAGTAGGCATTTAAACCCTTAGTGGATTCAAGAACTTACATACGAACCTGGAAAAGCTCACACTCTCGAAGGTCCCGCGATGCGCTTTAAGCGTCCAATTATAGTTTTGTTATACCTTTAATACATGTAAAAAATTTATTGTGAGATGACCTGCCGAAACTGAATACGGTTTAACCTAACAATATAAAATATTTGGGAGATTAAGCAGTTTGCGCTCGATATTACCGAGCATCTGTACTATTTATTTAAAAACAAAAAACAAAAAAGAAACCTACGAGGTTTCATATCGGTCGAAGAAAATTAAGGACGATTCGCTAGGAACACTTTTAATAGGGCATCAAGTGACCCGCTTTTTAAAAACCTCTCTTTGAAATACATATATTAAAAAAAACTTTTTAAAATTTAGCCTTTTGTTTATTGGAGCCAACTTCAAAAAAACAGATATTGGGTGCCACTCAGCCAATTAAGGTTTATTTAAGCTTACAACCGCAGTAATGTTATTATTGATGCGTGGCGTTGCTTTAAGTTAGTTAAATATGCGTGTAAACATCTTCACTCGCTCCAAGCTGTTCTTGGATGCCAGTAGTCTAGTGGACCTACTTTCCTCTTTCTTCTAGTTATAGGCGGTACAGTTTAACATTGACCACGCGAAGGGGCAGCTAAAATTAACACTAGAAAAATTTGAATTCTTTTCTTATTGTGTTTAAGTAAAGTACTTCACCCATTTAATCAATTTAAGTTATTAATTTCGAATTGGTAAAGTTAGGAAAAGGTTAGAGCAACCTATGGAGGTGTGGTGGAGGGGGCCGTCACTTTTTCCACCAAACGACTGGCGCATTTAAAAGAACCGAGCACTATCGTCTCTCCTTAGTGACCTTCCTTAACGGAGGAGGCGGTTCTTTCACAAACTTCTGAAGTTAAATTAACAAAAAAAAAAAGAATCCTTTTAAAGTCGTAATTGACGACTAACTCAAGATATTGATAACTGTAAATATCAAAATTTTTTTGCTTCTCTGCTTTATTCTTGCATATTGTTAACTGTTTACATCCTGTCTTTGTCATTGCATAAATAAACTAACGTTTCCTGAACTTTTTGTTATGGGTAAAGCAACTGAACCTTCAATTTTCATCCTATGAGTTTTCTTAATCATCGGAAAATGGTACTCGTAGTAAATACTAGAATTAAGATTTTGTGGGAAATGCAAAACTTTCCTGAATGGTTTTGTATAATATAACTATCTTAAGGAAGCAAACTTAAAAATGTTTAATAATCTTATTGCAACATTTTTTTACTGTCCAATTAAAAATACAAACCTTAGAGTTAAGAATTGCTGTCTTTCATAACGTAAAATTCTAAGAATTGAATGTGGTATTCTGTTGCTTTCTGACATGCCAATACATCCACACTTATTTTTTAGTTGTTTTTTTTTTTAAATGGTTAATAAAGAACTGAAAAAATAGTTTTGCTGTCATATTCTACATTGGGCCATAAAGTCCCTATATTCAAGTAGCTAAGAATCTTTTTTAAACCCTTAATTCTATTTAACCATCGTGAGAATATATTTAGCGTCCCAGCAGAATAATATGTCTTTACTTTCAATATGCTTAAAAAACAGCAAATATCATACAGTCATACAGTAAAGAGCTACTGCATACGATACTTCAAAGGGGCTAAGGCTATTCTACGCCTTCTTTAGTAGAAAAGTAAAATAAAGTAACGCTAAGAAGTGGAACTTAAAAAACTCTCAAGACCGGAACTTAACTCTAATAAGTAACGAAAATAAATATTTTAAGGTAACCAGTTTTAATAGATTTCCTCATCCGTCGGTTTGAAATGTTCATCGTCGATGGTTGAATAGATGTGCCCTTCGTTAGAAAGAAACTCAACAGCATTTCTACAAGAAAAAAACAGTTACCTTTGAGATAAAATCAGAAGAGAAATTTTAAAAAGGTTATATAAGAGTAAATCAAGTATTACGTTTAAGGATTGCGATATAATTATATTTATTAACAACGTTAAACAACAAAAAAATAAGTCTACCACATAAAAAAATTAGCCTATCAACGTTCTTTCTAGAACATTAAGATCACCACCACCGGCTTATTAACTACTTGTGTTACTTCGATTGAAATACCAGACAAACTTTTTAAGGATAATACTAATAGTAATAATGAAGGAAGGAAGGACCGGACCTGATCTCATATTCGTTGGAGTGTCTTAGTTCCTGAATGATCGACTGAATTGGGACGCCAACCTGCTCTTTTCCTAAAAAAGAGATAAATTATTAATTTTTAATCGTATGCGGTGTTAGTATAGTAACTATTTTTTTGTTTATATAATATTTAAACCACGTTAAGAAGACATTAATAATTGCAGTATATGTGATAATCAATTCAAGAGGTTACCACGACAGACGCACTCGAACACCTGCTTCTGCAGCTCTGTTTCAAACTGCTCGTAATATTGTGATTGTTGGGGGAAATAACCGCCCCTGTTTAAAAGTTCATTGTTTCCGCTGGTCAGCCCTTCGCTAGAAATAATAACTTATATAATATTAGAGAAAAGGAAAACAACTTATAAACTTTGTTATGACTGAGCCTCGAACGTTAAGCAAGTGAGTATGAATAACTTCAAGAAGGTGAAAGGTAATTTCATTGTAATCAGTGACAAGCGCTAAGAAAACATGTTAACCTCATAATTTTTGTTTCTTATATAATAATATGTGGTTGATTAATAACAGTTGTAGAATTTATTATTAAAATAATAAAACTTTTACTAAACATAATTAATAAAAGTAAAACTTTATTTTAAAATTGGAGGGTTTCATAAAGAAGAGCTGCATAATATCCACGACTTCCCACTCATAAAATACTTGGCCTTTTTTACTTGTTCGCCACAACAAAATAGTTATTGTTGCGTAATGTAATAGCTCATAATGATTGCTAACTTTGTTACCCCAATAAAATATGATATGAGTAATGTTTTGTAGCTTATTGTATTAGAAGTTATTAAAATAACATTTTAACATATAAATTTATAATATATACTATTCAAATGCCATATTAACGATAAAAGCAAAAGTAAAAAATATAAAGTATTTTATTTGTTGCCAATAGAGCTGCAACTGTTCAAAAAGAGTTTATTGATATCTATTAACAAAACTGAGGTAAAATATTAAAATAAGCTTAAAAAACGAATTGAAAACAGTAAAACAAATAATTAAATAACGAATTTGCGTTTAAAAATTTTCTAAATGACCATATGGAAAATCATGATCGCAATGACAAACCAAAATGATGCGCATTAAAGGACCACTTCTCTAAAAAATTTCTCAAAATCCCAAAGACTCGGACGTAACTCCCTTCAATAAAATAATATTTACTATCACCACCATTATTATTATTAATATCATAACCTTCAACAAATTCATTCCCTTTTGAACCATAAACTCCAATATCATCCCCTATTTTTTATTTTAGTAGTTACATACGTAAGAAAGTATAAACATTCTTTAAGTTAGTATTAATAAAATAATTCTTAAAGTATTCTACCAATTTATAAATTTATAAAGTTAACTTCACTAAAATTAATACTTAACTTTAGAATTTTACATAATAAAGTTAATAGTTATTAGATTAAAAACCTTCCGACCACATTCTAACGTTGATACTTCCGGTCGAATCTTCAATAAGATAATCGATATTTGTAGAATTTCTTGTGAGACTTCTTATCATGCCTGAAAAATATTCGCGATTAAATTAATACAATATATATATAAACGACCTCGATAGACGAAAAATAAAGTTTACAGAAATAAAAAAAGGTGTACCAACAAAAGTTAACTGTGAGGGGATAATCCCGTCAATGCGGACCTGCAGTCATATTAAGTTAGTTGCAACGTTTACAAGAGAAAATCCCACCGAAGCTAAAACTTTAAGTTATTTAAACACGATTACACGAAAATTATAAACAGTTAAAAGATTTTTACTATAAAAATAATAAAACGATACTTTCATATTATATAACAAACTTTAAAGTTGGAAAACTTTTTAAGGACTCTATATACAATACGAAAGTAATTACAAAAAATAAAACACATAAACTTAATAATAAAAGCAGTTTAAAAAAAGATAGATCTAACTAACTTTTTAAGTTAAATTAAGGCTTAAGTAAATTTAATTTTATGTAAAATATAAAGAAGGAATTTTAATAAATTTTTATAATAACCTCATCCTGTTCATTATTAGCGGAGAACAACTTTGCCGTAGATTATATATTTTAAAAATCAATTATTACTTAATTAAAACTGTATATTGAAAATTTAATTAAAATAAAAAAAAGTTTCTATAAAATTAGTAAAAAAATGTGTGTATACTATTTTAAGTTAACGAAATATGGAATAATTAGCAGAAATACAACTATTATAAAACAAGAACAATATCCTTTTCTGTATATTATTGAACAAAGGAAATTTAAATTTAAAAAACCTTTTAATATATGATATACTATTTCTAAAAGTATACTAATTATATTTTCTTATAAAGTGGAAAGCATAAGGTCTAAAGAAACATATGCACCATTTGCTTTATGGTCACCGGCAAGCAGCAATCTATAGTCCCTTCAATATGCCCTATTAAATTTTATATATAATAACAATAATAGGAATTCAAGGTCAATATTTATAATAATAAAAAAAATTTTTTTTTAGAAAAGTCTTCTGAAAATAATAGTAAAAGTAATAAAGTTAAGGCATAACTATTATATTAAACTGAAAGCACGAAAAGTTATTTGTATAAATATTTAAAAAAGAATTTCATAAAGTTTTAATTATGAAATTTACCCTTTTTTATAGGGGAATCAAAGGAAGAACGTCCTCCCAGATTAGAAGTTATAAAACCACCCTGCAGTGACTGTGGAAAATTCATTTATCTCCGTGATTTTAATACTTTTTACAATCCCGTTTAGAAAGTTGCAAAGATAGATATAAAGGGTAATAAAAAAACAAACAGAAAAGTAACAGTAGTGATTAAACTTTTTTTTAAGAGTTTTGCAGCTCAGTAGGTCGAGCCCAGATTGAGTGCTCCTATATCTCATGGAGTATCAGGACTGTCACTGGGCCTTGTCAGGTGGAGTGGTAGAGCGGCAGGCGGTGAATCGGGTTAGGACGCCCGCCATTCTGATTGGAGAAAGGGAACCACTAAAAGTCGCCTTCATGAGAAGCGACCCGGAGTACTAAATTGGAGATCTTCTAGAGAAAATAGTCTTACATTGCTGTTAGCTAGGCTTTCTAATTTATTAGTCCTTTCATTCAAAGGGGGAAGCTTTTGATTACTAAAACTATGTACACGTCTAGTGTTTATACCGGTATTAAAATTAATATCATAGGAGAGCGAGTATATAGAGTCTCATATTGATTGGGGGAATCAGCGATAAGGCAACACGCATATCTTTGAGGAAATTCGATGTTGTTAAAATTAAATAAGGTAGTCTGGGAGCAACATTAGTCATTGTTCCGTAAATCTTTAACTTCGTGCCTAAAGGCATCGTGGTGGCTGTTTTGAGAACTTGGTTTTTAAAGATAGAGAAACAAGTTCATGTGATGTTGCAGGTCTTTTCTCAATTCTTTAGAAGTCTTGGTTAATCATGAGATTTACACATGATTTTTCGTGCACAAACTCCTCCTGAAATACGGTTAGTATGATTAAACGATCTTGTGCTGACCGTAGTATACCAATACCTATCGCAAAAGGCACTTGGATATTATAACGTCCTTTGCGTTAATGATTTTTTAAACCTATATAGAAAAACTTTTTTTAGCTAACAAGTTAATTATAAGGAACTGCCAGCCCAGAAACGGTGATAGTGGCAATTTAACGAAAAAAATTAAAATTAACATGGTTATTCTTTCTGTACACCAATTCTTTTATAAATATGAATCTGGAAAAAAAGATTAATTATTACGCTAAGAAAAAAGGGACAACAGATTTTATATATAGCTCAATACAAAAATACAAAAAAGTTAAAAAATAAAACTTAGGTTAGCCTCCCACCTTGTAAACAGTAGACTTAATTTACACAATTATTAAAATAGCAATATGAGTACATGAACTTATAGTATAATATAAGCGTATCAGCGGTAAGATACACCTTCTCGCATTAATTAAAACTTTTAAGTTATATTAAAAAACCAACTCCACTAGAGATCTAAAGTGTACACAAAACTGTACTATCTAAGTTAAAATAAGTAATACGACTTACATACAAAAATACATTGCTTTTTCTTGCTGACACAGACACACAAATGATTCATGGTCTCCAACAGTATTTTGCTTCGATGGGAAAATGTGAGGGCACGTACTAGTCATGAACATGACTAAAAAAGGAGCGTCCCAAAAGTAATTCTAGTGGATCGTATCCACAATTTTTGTTTTATTAGGTAAAGCGTTCGAATCTCCGCCGATGATCGAGAAATAAGCGGCCACACTCTCTTCGGCGCTCTACGAAACTGTTGTTCATTGAAGGGCCTTGAGACATGCCAGATCACTCAAGCTTGTTAGGGGGAGGCCTGGTTGCTCTCTGGCTCAAAGTTTCGTCGTACCAAGGGCGCGAATAAATGTCATAGTAATATATCTTGAGTAACAGGGAAGTTCAAAAAGATAGAAGAGGGATTGTGGTTGTTTCTGTATTGTAGGGCATGACTGCGGAGGCCAAGCTTTAAGATAATGAAATGCGCTCATTGTCTTCCTCTGTTAACCTCTGCAACCTCTGCAGCTCGTCTTGTGTTACACCTCGTCCGTGCGCCAAAGGTTTAAAACCGTTACAACTTCCTTAATTATAAAAATTTGGTTTTAATTATGGAAATAAATGAATTAAATCAGCTATTTTAAGCGCGATTCGCATACTGACGGCCCTATGAATTATAATGACACTGAATTGGTGGTTTATCAACCAGAAGATTATATTATTTTTTTATATACCTTTAATGAGACTCTTTCTTTCCTTAATTTGTATAAAAATGACAAAAACGGGAGAAATAAGGATATTTATTTATTATTATTGCACTAATCGATGACAATCACGTCTTTTTCAAGTATCTTTTCAGAATTTTTCTTTTTAGTTCTCAACGTCAACTTTGAAAATGGGTTGAGAGCTCGGATGGCTAACGAAAGTTCCTTTAAAGTATTACTAATTTCCTGGCGTTGTTTTTCTTCTGCGGGTTCTCCATTAGGATTTCCGAGTTCCTAATAGAAAAAAAGGAATTTTACTTTTATTAGTTTTTAATTTTAAGAGTTTTACAGTAATATGTGTGCACAATAATATATATATTTACACTGAATTGCTCGCGCCAACCAAAAACATGTAAAAATGATGACGCAATGACGTAGTTATAAATTAAACAAACTCCAATAAATTTCCGCTAAATAAAAGTGAAAAGAAAAGCAAGGAATGCTTCCTGGTTAACTAATAACTGTTTTTGTAAAAGATCAATCTTTTGTAACAGATATATACTTATTTATACTGCGCTGTTCCCCTTAATAAATAAATACCCGAGCTAGTTTACTGCCACTCGACTTTTCAGTGAATATTTTATGATTATTTTCTTTGGAGCTGTTAAATGTTTCCAGAAACAGATTAGCGACTGTTGTGATATGCAGGAAATAAAGTTAGTATCGGTAATCACACGATCTACGCACTTTTTTAAACTATATATTTTCTTTAAATAAACATAAAAGGTAATATTTCTCTGTAATTAAAGTAGTCAGCTTTTGTTTTGATTATAATAAAAAAAAAAGGAAATTTTAATTAAACATCGTAACACTCAAACCTCTTGAAGTATGATCAATTTATAGTTCTCTAATAAAAAAAAGGGGAGCATAACAAAGTAAATACGAAATATTATTAATACCAACTCTGTGATTAATAACATAAGCCCAACATACTAAACTGAAAGGGCGGAACTAATAAGTAATTATTTTAAAAATAAATAATATTAATAGCGATCATCTTAACTTTGATAATAAACACGTTTATAACAACTCCATTCAGTTCATAAATATAATATAATGTGTAATAAATACTAATAAGCAATAAAATAGTGGTAATAGTTTGTATAGGCAGTTCGAAATACTTTATATTCATTATTTTATATAAAAAAAAATTGGCCTATAAGAGGAGTAGGGATAAAAGCCCTTATCTACACCAATAAAAGAACCTGAAGTAAAGTTGAAAGTAACACGGGAAAAACATATTTAGAAAAATATTACCGTCAACAGTCAAAAAACGAATGGCATGAACTTCAGTTTTACACACATTATCAGAAAAATCGGCAAGTACTAGCAAAAATAATAATTTTTATAATATAGCAATACTTATAATTATCATTACTGATATAGTAAATATCTCTTTTTTCCTATAATTTCTATTAAAGCAATAATTATTTTTTTACTTGGCTAAAGGTCAAAAGTCACCATAACACCAACTTTTTGTTAAAATATAAACCAATATATTGGCTATACTATATTCTTTTTCACGTGCACACATAATAATACTTCACTTTCACAATCAACAAGGAATACATTAAATTATTATTAACCCATAGAGTCCACCATAGGAACTTACCAGTGTATATCCACGTTTTCGGGTGGGAGCAGTGAACTTCCAACTTCATTTCAGGAGTTACTGCGGGGTAGGAAGTATTTATAATTGTTAAAACTTGTTTTAGTATAAAATATATTTGGTTTTCTTAAGGCGGTCATCACATTAATTTGAAAGTTGTGATATACATTTTGCTTTAGTAAAAATTGCTTACAGTAGATATAATAATATATAATACTTTTCTAACTGAGTGTAATAGTAATCAAAGTTTTTATAAATCTTTACATAACTACTGCGTTCTAAAATAAATTTCGCTAATTAACTGTAATAGTAATAAAAATTTTAAAAACTTTTACAATAGTAACATTTATAAGTTTTTCATTAGTTTCTTTAGTAGATTTCTAGTATAAATAAGTCTTACAGTAGTAATTGCAGCAAACAGTAAAAGTTTTGTCGCGCAGCATAAGGGCTCGAGTCAGGCCGTTCTTATTGGATTTGATGAGTTTTATTTCTCCAGTTCCTCTTTTTATTGGTTAAGTCATAAATAATTAATGAAGTTATTTAATAGTTTTTAGTATTATCATAATTATAATTTATAATAAAATGGTAATTAAATGACGACTTGCTCAATTAATTTATAGCTTTATATCATATTTTAAAACGTTATGCCCAAAACTATAGATAAAAAATATAAAATGCTTCTCAAAACTAATAATAATAAAAAAATATTAAGAAATGTGTTGTTGCTAATTAAATTTATATAAAAAAATATTATTTTTAACATTAATTGTACTAACATTTTAATTCATATTATAAACTTAATATTAATATATCATTTCGAAGATATTATACTTAAAGTTTATAGTTATTTTTATGACATTCAAAAAAAAATACAATATACATTCTTAGGAAGGTATAGAGAGTTTACAGTTCTATGAGTAACTTTATTATAAAGAAATAAAGTTTAATAAAAACAAGGGGCATTCAAATTTTAACGATAACGTCGTGGTACCAAGAAATTTAGTAGAATATATACAATAATAAACATAAAAACTTTTATAACATCTCTAAACTTTGGGAGTTAGTAATTTTTACAATAAGTTAGCAACGAAAAAAAGTTAATTGATGAATATTAATATGTAAATATTTTATTCTAGAATATATTTATATATATCTTTAAAATAATATTGTTAAAAAAATTTTAAAGTGTGTTTTTTTGATATATATTAACAGAAAAAAAAAGTTTTATTAATTAGTAGTACTAAGCAGCAATAATATTTTTAGGTTTAAATTTACATAGAAACTGAAATCGGTTTTTTATGATTAATATTGCCGTAATTGGAAGTTCTCTTTTTTAGGATTATTCATATATACTTTAAAAAGTAGTTGTTGCAAATGAGTATATTGTTTTGCTGCTTGGCAACACATAAATTTATTAAATTGTTCAGGCTTTAATGAAAAATTATTTATTTTGTCGTTTAAAAGTTTATATATTTATTTATAAGAATGGTTATATATAGAGACTAATAATAAATTTAGATATTAAAAGTATATACATTATCATTAATTTAATACTTCTATATATAAAGTAATGTTTAAAGCCCCTCCCTCAACATAGTCTTGCTCTAAGCTACTAAGATTGGACTACTTATATATTATAAACATTGCCATTCTCGCGCAGGAAGTTTACTTGGCATCAACATTAGAAATAAAATAATAATTTCGAGCAATTAATAGGAAAGCTACGCTCCTCGCGCATGTGTAGGCCTCGTGATTCAATATTATTATATTTTTGCAAGCAAACAGGATCTAAAGAAGAGGAAAGGCGAAATGTTGTCGGGAACAATAAAAATAGCTTCCAAGCTCCGTAAAAAGTTGCATATTATCAGTTAGAAAAACATGAGACTTCACTGCTACATAACAAATATCATTTTTACAATAGCTTCCAGTGGTAAATCATAAAACTTACAAGTTAATAAAAAAATCGCCAAAAAAACTTTACAAAATTAAGCTAATTTCAAGTAAATTTAAAGCAATAGAGAAATGAAGAGAGGAAATTATATGAATAATCAAAGTAAATATTTAAAAAAGGTAAACTACACAGACATCGAAATGACTATTAATATATATAACTTTCATTATAATCTGCGAATTTACAAAATGATGTTCTTCGACGTGACCTTTTAATACTTTATATTATCAATTAGGTGAGACAAACTCAGCATTAGCAGAAAACGATAAAAATAAATTTTTTTTTTCTGTAATATTGATGGTAATCTTATTTCGTTTTAAAATGCGCTTAGCATATTTTCTTAAACAAGATTCTACCCGTAATATAATACGCAAACTTCATAATAGCAATTGGTGTTATTTTTTATACCACCAGCAGAACTTTTAATACCTTTGTTATATTTTTCAAGAAAAATTTACCTAGACGGCGTGCTAATCGCGGAGAAAAGAGAAAGATATTCGTTTACACAGTAATACTATTTCATTATTTTATTATCACATAAATATTGATGTAAATTCATTAGTTCCATTAATTAGTTCTCATAAATATAAATAAACTCAGAAAACTGCTAGAACGCGCTTCAGTAAAAGTAAGGCTACTGCATTAACCAACCAGTATAGAATAAAAAATTATTAAGTCATGTGCATCTCCTGTTAATCACTGACAAGTAACGAACCTTTCTTTCCAGTCACTCGACTTCATGTCGTACCGCCACAGTTTCGCTCGTCTATAAAGTTATATGGAACATATTGAAAATAATGGAGAAACTATTTAATTTCCTATAAAAGCTATAAGAAAAAAGTTTACGTATACTTTAACAGAACTAAAACTACTATGCAAGTAAAAAATTGACTATTAGAATTTTAATTTTCACTTTTTAAAAGTACCGTTGTAAGTAGATGAACAAAAATTTAGACGAAGTAAGAAAGAATGATAAAGTACTTTTTTAAAATTAAGTAGGACAGTAATTTATTATCCTTTAGATAATTAAATTGATATATATTTACAGTGAGAAAAAAAATGTTTTAATGTAGACTTTGTTTTGAAACTAAATTAAGGGGACAATAAATTTTCTATTATTTTGAAATTAAAAACTTAAAAGAAAATTATTAACAAAAACAAAAATAATTTACAGTTTAATAAAAATCGCTTTTATTTCATCTTCAATGGTATCTTCTAAAAATAGGCATACATAAATTTTTTTTTACATTCAGTGAAACTATAAACGGTTAGAAGTTTTATGAGAAAAATTTTTTTTCTTAAAAAGTCCTAGGCAAAATGCTGTTTATTATTTTAAAGTAAACGACGCGCTCCCCTGTTTATAATGTTCCAATAAGAATTATATGAATATTTTTGTTTTACGAAAAATTTTATTTTTATAATAGTCAAAGGGTTACAAAAAATGTTATAACTTGTAAAATATTCTCTTAAATAGATTATTAAATTAATAACTTATATCCTCTAAATATATATATCATATTATACAAAAAATATCAAAATATCTAAAATATATTATTTTAATTATTTTTATTGTATAGATTTAAAAGTTCTGTCTCAAAAGATAAAATTATAAGCTACAAAAAAAATGTTAAATTTTTTGAATCTTTTTACTTTAGAGCGTATTTCTATGTTAATCATATTATCTTAAAGATTTTATTAGACATTTTAAACACTTAAAAAGTATTTAGTACGCTTTGAAAAGTTCTGTTTCATCCGAATAACTCGGCTGAGTACAATTTTGCTGATTTTTTGAGCGAAATTTTTTACGCAGTTCCTGAATATAAAAAAATTATAAAAATACTTTACGGATTTCACTATTACAAGCACCTCTAGAGTTTTCATCCCTTTTTTTCTGTAATACAGTGTGTAATAGTTAAATCTGTATGGTTTTTTACAACATTACTAAAAAAATAAAATTAAAAACTGAATTAAGTTGAAGTGAAAAATTGAGTGCAAAGGTAATAATACCTTCGTCTCTTTGTACTTTTATTTAAGATGGGGGGTAATAAAGTAAAAGCTTTTATATAAATTAATACATAAAATATCTACTAAAAATATGAAACACAGATTTCAATAGACACGAAAGGACTTGAAGCGCTTTCTATGGAAGAAAAGCTCAAAACTCTTAAGTTTTTCCATATATATATTTTTAATTTCTTTAATAAGGTAAACACCAAAACCAAATGACCCTTTTCTTATTGGCTAGAAAAATCCTAAGGAAAGTTTTTAGTGCTATAAAAGTACTTTATTACGAGCTTGTTTATTACAACGAATCAACTTTGGAATAAAATTTACACTAATTTTAAGAAACATTTAACTTTAACAATAAAGGTTGTTATAACTTTAACATTTTGTTTTTCTGTTTTATATTTAAATAAACAAGTTGAAGAAATATTAATTATCTAATTTTAAGTCGATAAATTTGTGCTTTATAATAAAAAGGTATTTAATTTTAAAAAATAGAATATGTTGCCGTTTCTATACTTTTAAGTATTTAGTAGTTATTAAGTAATATTTTTAATTACTATTCTCAGTTTCTTCTTATTTTAACTAATAGTTTAAAATAAGAAAATAAATTAATAAGGTAACCGGCAACCATCTTTCGCATGCGAGGTGACAATAAAATTTATATAAATACAAAATAATAAAGTAAAATCAGCAAAGTTAAAAACTTTATAAAATTACTGCTAATTAGCGCTTATTCATAGGAAATAACATTTAAAAATTAATTATAATCCTTGAGTATATAAAGAGGAAAAAGAATGTATAACAAGCTAAGCTGCATAAGTAAACTCCTTTATTATTCTTTAGCCTCCGCTATTTTTTATTAAAAGAATGTTGGACAACTAGTATCTAGTTAGCGGTGTAGGTTCTAAGACACCTTCAAATGAAAGGAAGATAATTTGTACTGCTTTAAGTCCAAAACAAAATGAGACAGCATTTACTTGCATTTTCAATTTTATTACGTTCAAGGAAAGAAAGATTGCATGATAGCAGGCCTAACAACGAAAATTACGAGCTGTCTTAATGAACTTTTACACAATTAAGAGACAGTGTGAGGATGAGACTGGATCCTTCTCCTTATCTTTATGATAAATTTGTTCCTATAAATAAGCTAAGCAATTTATAGGCCCAAATATCGGGAGCTTCCCTCTTTTGAGTTACAGAATAATAATTTAAGTCACCCCTCATAGGACCCTCTAATTTTACTATTTTCTTCGGTCTTTGGGCCTCGCCTCTATTATTATAATAAACTTTGGACCTGCCACTTTAAAGAAACAAGGTGCACAACCGAGTTAAGAACCTCGTGATTTATAAAATAATGTTAAGCACGCAGTTTATATATTAAACCTGCGAAAGAGACTTGTGTCATACAACATTCATTGTATATAAATTGTGGGTTGTTTGTTAAGATATAAAGCTACAAAGACTTTTTGTAGCATTGTTTGGGTATATTCACTGTAAATACTACTTACTTCCTGGTAATAATTAAACCTATACAGACCTTTTGCAACTGGGCGTCCGCTTTGAGAAGAAGGGGGTGAGGACACCAGATTTTGTATTAAAAAAATGTATACGAAGATACTAACTCAAGGATGCTTCTGTTGACCAGTTTCGGTCTGTATTTCTACCTATACAAAAATCGACTTCCATATATGTACAGTAAATTTAATTGAATCAGATAAAATTTTACTTTATTTAGTCTGTAAGCCATTAATAAGGTAGGTCAAATTAAATTTTTTGTGTAGAAATACTAATTTCTCTTTTTTTGTATTTTTATTAGCTGTTTCTCAGGTTTCTGTTTGTATGATCACGGATCATTTTTTTTGTGAAAATTTAGTGGGTTAGTACTTTGTTTTCCTTATATTGTTTTAAATGGTGAATTTGTGTTATTGTGTTAGAGGGTCAAGTTCTTCAAATATCCGTTTTAATCATTGTAAATAAAAGCCAACTTACGATTGAAGTACTTTCTGACCTGGAATATCTAATCAAACTCACATATTAGAACTATAGATTATAGTTGCCTATTGAGACGACAGATTAACTTTTATCTATTTGTGTTACCTTTAGATAAAATGTAAACTTTTTTTAATTACGCATTAATACTACCCTCATTTAGTTTATAATTTTTATAAGCTTACTTCGTCGGGCGTGTGAGCTTTCAGAAGTTATGTGAAGACCGTGTTTATATCTCAGAGAAAATTTATGCGACGATCCTCATTTGGGCGAGATTGAGGGTTAAGGTTGACCCCAGCGCATATCGTGAGAAAAGTGGGGAACGAGGCCGGCCAACATAAACTTAAAAAGCTTTGCTCCATGGCTGTACGGCGAAGTAAGTTATGGTTATTACTATATAAAAATGTTCAGTTAATTATATATATTTTGGTTAATCTTAAAATTGAGTTCTCTTGTAAATAATCATTTTATTGAAAAAAGAATTCAGTATTTTATTTACTAAGCTATCATTTTGCAGTAGAGTTATATTGAATATGTATTAATATTGTTTTTTTTTACATCACTTATTTAACAAGTTTTCAGTGTTTAATTTACTTAAGTTAAGACTTTAGTTTTTTTATTACCTATTAACTTTAACTTCCCTTTTTTCGTACCTTTAAAGCTTTCTTTTGTTTTAGGATGCCGGATTTGACTTCTGAAACCCTTAAAGCTATTGTGATTACAGATAGTTTTAATCGCCGTTTCCTGCCTGTTACCTTGCACCATCCCCGCGCACTGTTGCCGGTAGCTAACGTGCCTTTGCTGGAGTACACTTTGGAATTTTTATCGGCTAGCGGTGTTAAAGAAGTTTTTTATTTATTTATAAAGTTCTCTTGATATTGTTTGTTGGAATTAATTAATGTTAGTTTCAAAATTGTTTATTCTGTTAGTTTATATTTCTCTTTATTACCGTGAAAGTAGTTGTTTTTAGTTTTATAAATTTTTTTAAGAAAGTTTATCTCTTAACTAAATAATTCTCTTTTTATAGTTTTTCCTTTTTAACAATTTGTATGAACGATATAATTTAAAAATACTACTTATATATTATAACTGTATAACATAATTCTTAATATACAACTATTTTTTTGAGCTTGGAAGTCAAAAAATATTGTTTAAATAATTTCTTAAAGGCGGAGTTTTGCTGTATAACTATTTTTGTTTATTATAAATTTTTTTGTTATTGCTGTTATGAAAGGTCCATCTGTACTGCCGAGAGCATGAAGACAAAATACGTTTCTACATAGAAAATTCAAAATGGAGCAGTTATTCGCAAGCCTGTAAAGTTTTTGTTAATAGCGTGCAAGAAGTAATCTTTGACAAGTTATACGTTTATTGATTCAAAGTTAATTCTTTTACTTTATTAGTTACTTTATTTAAACACGATAAAGTTAAGTTCTAATTTTATTATTCATAAAAATGTTGGTTATAAAAAACTAGTTTTTTAACTAAATTTTGGTTGTGAAAAAGTGATTTTTACTTTTAAACTTTAATAAGAATATAACGAAAACAACGGAAACGCTAAGTTTTTTTTTGTAACAAAATTAATATTCATTATTTTACTTAAGGCATTAAATGTTGGGGATATCTTCCGCTCGATTCAAAGGACTCAACGAACTGATTTTCTTTCGGATTTTTTGATCGTTTCCGTCGGTGTCGTCTCTAATATGAACTTTTTCTCCGCTCTTAAAGCACATAAGTAGATAATTATTATTATTTATATTATTATTATTATTATTACTATCCTAGAGAAAGAAATCAAAAGAACCCCAACTCTTTAATGACTCTTGTCATGAGTAAAGCAGATCCTGGCCATCCTATACGTTCCCAGGAAGAAGAAATTGTGGTAGCTTTGGACGATTTTGGTTTATTATTACTATTGCTATTATTATTATAATTATTATGTATTATTATTTATTTAGGCCTTCTTCTTGAATATGTCCCTCTCGTAGCAGTCGACTCCGCTAACAAAAATAAACTTCTTCCGTTACAAATTTCTAGTGGCTTGTTTAGTAAGGCTTCTACTTTCACGATACGTTCGGACCTTCTTGACTGCCGTATTGCTATCTGCTCGCCTCTTGTATGAGTCTTCAGCCACTTTAAACGACCTTCTTTGCATTATTATTAACTTTTTATTGAAAAAGAATATTTTTATATTATTTAGGTACTTGAATTGTTTGTTGATAATTTTGATTACGACAATATTGCTCATTTTATACGCGGCGTGTTAGACGACGAACTCAACGAGTACCGCATATTCACTCACATTCTCGACAATGAGTACGCGGCGAGAGTCTCGAATCATAAAACTTACGAAGCTATATCGTAACAACTTTTACTATTATTATTATTATTATTATTATACTTATTATAATCAGGATGGATGTCCTCCATCGTTGGACATTTCCTTTTGTTCCTGACGTTATTTTATATAACAATTCGTCTTATAAATATAAAAGAAACAATATATACATCGACGACGAAGTGAGCTTGGCAAGGTACTGCTGTTTACGCCTTACTTTATATTGTTATTAAAAAAAAGAAAAAGATCCTGCAAACTTGCAAGAGATATTATTATTGGCGGTTATTCTCGAATTGAAGACGATGTTTATATTGAAGGCGCAATCATTGGACGCAATTGTGTTATAGGTAACGATCATGTGGTTGCTATGCTTTTTTTTTAGTTTCCCCTTATAATTTTTCTCCAAGGAAAAGGCTGCCGTCTACACAACTGCTATATATACGATAACGTTCATCTAGGAGAGCATTGTACCATCGAAAAAGGAGCGATTCTGAGCCACAACGTTTTGCTAGGGGCCCATGTGCTTGTCCAAGAAAAAGCAGTTCTTGCCGACACTGTACTATTTTTTATCTTCTAATTGACTTATATAAGAGTCGTTTTTACAGGTCACCCTTCCCGATAATCACGTGGTTGCTCCCTACCAAAGATACTATTATGATTATGAAACAGGTCACATTTTGGTTATTATTTGGTAATTTTTATTTATATTTTACTAGGGAAAAGCGCTGTCTGGGTACCCGCAGAAGAAGACGACTCAGCTCATGAAAGTTCTTTTTTTGTTATTTTTTATTAACATATGTTGCCTCATTATTATTATGTCAAAGTTGACGAAAGCATTGCAACTGCCGTTTCGTCCGATTCAACCTCCAATACGGACCATGAGGAGCATGGTTCCCCATTTCATTTTCTCAGTTATCGTTAATTGATGCGTTCATTTCGTGACTAGAACTTTTATGCCCGGAAGAACTATTTATTAGAGAGCTCTCCGATTCGCTGAAAGCTGCTGTCCAGAGCTATCGCAACTTTTCAGCTGATAATTTAGTTTTAGAAATAAACTCTAGTAAACATGCCTATAATATACCAATGGCCCGCGTTATAGAGCTACTTTTTATAACTCTTCTTCGCGATTCGCTATATTCTAATATTAACGAAAGGCTGAACTATTTGTTAAGGGTAACTCTTTTCAGTTCCGCCTTAAGAGCGAGTCACCCTGAAGTTTTATTGTTGCTACATACAGATTTTTTCACAATTGAAAGAAGTATTCCAACATTATCTTCGCAGCGGAACTGATGAGGTTGCCGCTTTAGAAGCCATCGAAGTAATATTTTTTTTTATTTAAACTAGTTATCTACTCTACTTAAACTTTTAGCATCACTGCAGTGAAACGACAGACATCGAAGTCTGCCGTCAAATAATACAAATATTATACAATTTAGAGCTAATTTCTGAAGATGCTGTTCTTTATTGGTTTTCAAAAAAACTCTCCAACACACTCATCAAACAAAAGGCATCTACATAATAACAATTTTATCAGTAATAAGATATGCTTGCTTTAGATGGCTAGATTTGTCAAATGGCTGGAGGAGGCATCAGAAGAAGAGGCTTCTGAAGATTAACTTATTACTGAAGAAGAAGAACACTTCTATATTAAAAAAGAGCATACTACAATCTTTTTTATTATTATTATTACAATCTTGCTTAAGTAATGTGCGCTAAACTATTTAACCGTGAAGGTACTAGTAATAGCAAATTATTGCTAGGTATCTTGCCTGCAAGGGCCAAAAAATTTTGGATATTTCTAAAACCTATAATAAGAATTTGGGCCTATTTTTCAACTCTGCACGATTAAATTAAGCGAGCATCCAATCGTTAAAGGAATACAGAAAACAAAAATGTTTTAATGTTATAAAAAATCCATTCGATATGGTCAGACAACTCGCACTTTACCAACTTTTGCGTCTGACTGTCACTGGCTTTCGATCAAGTCCACTCGCTAGCAAGAGTAGTTCGTATACAGCTTCAGACAATTCCCTTGTTTTTAACAAATATTTAGAACTGCCTTGTTCCAATAGTTTCTACAAAACGCTTTTCTTTACACTTAAACACGAAGTGTAGTATTCAAGCTCTTTCTTTTTTTACAACAATTACAATGTACTAATACAAGTTAATTGCTATAAATAGTATATACGAAGGAAGTTATTAACTGTTACAGCTAATACAAGTAAAGCTATAGAAAAAAGCTTCTACTACACCGCAACTAGTACGTTTAGCATAGGTCAGGCTACTTCTTGAGTTTGTTACTTCCTCTTTAGTAATAAATTGTTAGCTTCTTAGCTCAGAAATAAAGATTCTATTTTCTGCAGTTTTTGTGTGACTAGGCTTCTGACGCTCTTTCCATGAATAGAGATTTATTTACCCTCAACTTTTTTCCCAGTGCAATGCAATTATTTGAATTTAACAATAGCCTTTCCTTCATATATGCGAACTATAAATATTTATCTTCATTATACAAGGGTTTCACGTTATTTAAAAAATTTTCGCTGCTAAACTTTCTTCGTTAATTCTCTTGTTTTTCTTATTGATTTTTTTCGCGAAAAAAAGGTATATATACTTTATTTTCGGACATATCACTGCAGTTTACGTGTATTATTACTTTTTCACCTGCTCAACCAATTTCTCACCGTCTTCTCCACTTAAAGTACAGCTTTTAAAGGACCTGCGAATTAACCCCTGTGTGTTAGAGGAAACTAACGCCCGAAGAAACAACTCGCTAATGGAGCTACTCCTCAACAAGGCTATGAAAGATGACCTACTTGTTCATCTTTTTGAAATGTAGAGCGCTGTTAAAATATATATATCTCAAAAAAAATGTTTATAACTTTATAATTTTCTTAAGCAATTTTTTTTCGGGAATAAGTTGGCGCTTTACTTATTCCTAGCACATCAAATTGCCTATTGAAATGAACTGTGTTTTGTGGCGTTACGCATCTTTTTAAAGACAAATAAAAGTATATTGCCAGTGCGGTGAGGGTGGCATAACTGAAAGTCTTTCTAAATGCTAATAACCTTTTATGTAATATTAACGACGCCAAGTAGTATTGAGCTTCGAGGCTATTTACAAATAATGCAGTTAAAGAACTCCTCGACCTCATTAAAAATTATACCAAAATTGGAGAACCACCCGAAAAGAATTACTATTGGAAAAGGATCACTGGCCCCCCTCCCCTGCAGAGGCGGATATGACGCTAGTTAAGGAGAGCAGGCTATCACATGTGCTCTGATGCTCTAACCCTCCAATCCTATGACTTTATTAATTATTCTTTAAATTGGCTACCGCTGAACGTAGGGCATTTTCATGACGGTCCCTATACATGTACACAAGGCGAATTTGCTGCAACAAGACGTCGCGATCCAAAAAAATTGGACGGCCGCCCATAAAGAACGCTTTTAATTGGGTAACTTCATGATGTTGACAGGACCAATATCCTAAATACTGGATAAGAACTATTCTTCCTTTAAAACTGCGAAAGTGATGGATTGAATAACCGTCAATGTAGCCCATGTGCATGACGACTCTTTTCTAGATTGAAATATAACCAAAAATGATTAATAAGGAATGTTATATTACACAACACACCGGTAAATAGTTTATACTGCTTAATAGCAAAAGCTTAATTATCAACTTGGCAAAAATATGAAGCGAGTTCTAACAAAAGTTATTTTTATTATGGTTTTCTAAAAACGAGGGCCCAAGTTAATAACATAATAACAAAAGCAAAGAGGACTAAATATAAAAACTTCCCTTTCGTATTTCGGTTAACGCTGTTGACTTTTGTTATAATACTTGCCTAACGTTTATTAAAAATAACAGGAAAGTTTTTTTAAAAACATATAAAAGAATATTTAATAGTTAATATATATCGTAAGTTTAATAAGTATAACAAAAGCTATATAAAAAATAGTAATATAAATAAAGAGTAACTCAATAACAAAAAGTAAAAACAATAATTTGATTATACTTTTTTTTATTGTTTAAAATGTAATAAAAAGTAAAGTTGAATAACATAAAAAACAGGTAAAAATGATAAAAATAGAAAGTTATGTTTATTGTCTATAATATTTTTTAATGATTATTTTATTGATAATAATATTAGTATAAAGTTTTATAAGGAAAAAATTAGAGAGAATAAAGAACATAAAAGCTACAAACAATAATATTTTATACTAGTATATAGTAATATATATGTATAAATCAACAAAAAGTTAAAAAAATTAAGCCGCTATAATAATAAATAACAATAAAATGATTTGCAATAAAAAAATATGGAAACACTAGAAAGTAGGATTACTATTGATGAGATAAATATATAAATATGGAACTTTTTCTCGCTAACTTTGAAGTTTTATTAAGTTTACTTATCAACTCTATTTTATTATTTATATAAGAATAAACAATAACTAAAGTAATTTTTTACATAATAATGAAGTATATATATCAGTAATATATATTACTTTTAGTAACTATTATATGAATAGTTATAATAAATACCATAAAGTTGTCCGCGTTAAGAAATCCGAGTTGCTTCGTAAACATGAAAATGAAGAGAAGTTAATAAAAGTTTAATTGAGAAAAGTATTTATGTTATTATTTCATTAAAAAAGATCGTAAAAATGCATAAATTTTGTTGGTAATAATTACTACTACAAAACGGATATAAAAAAATTAAGCAAGCAAAGATTTTCATAGTATTATAAGTGTGTCTACATAAAAACAGTAAAAAAGCTTTTTATAATTTTGTCTTTAAAAAAAAATTGTTAAATAAATTGCATATTATATATTTATTGAAAAATTAATATTTTAAAGTTTAAAAATAAAATATTTTCTGAACTTCAATAGTTAAAAATGTTAAAATTTCATATTATAGAAAAAATATAGAATAAATAATTATAAAAGCAAAAAAAATATAATATAAAAAGAGTTGACTTTAATATAATAATAAAAATTTTAAAGTGGTATTGTGTTTATATGTGTAAAAAATTCTTTTAATTAGAAAATAAAAGTTATTTTAAAAAAAAATAAAGATACATAAAAAGAAAAGAAAAACGTACAAGACTCTCAAGAAAATGATTGTGAGATTGAATTTCCGTGTGCATGGATTCAACAGTCTAAAAAAAAAAATGAATTTTAAAAATTTTAAATATTTATAAAAAAGAAAAAAAAGATAAAATAAAAACTTCTATATAAGTAAATTTTTATTAAAAGAAAATATAACTATAAAAAAGAAATTATTTTAAAAAATTATGGCCGCATGGTATAACCAAGTGCCCTCCAAAGACACGAGGATTAGTATTGATACTACTCTACTTATTATAGTTTATTATTTTCTTATCAAGATTATATATTACCATATAACTCAGATTAATGATTATAAGATTTATAGATTTCTTTTCCAAATATAAATTGTAAACAAAATTCAAATTTTTAATTAAATTTTTTTTTTACAGATAACTTATTTTTTCTGTTTATTATTATATTATTATTAATGTATATTATAAAACATTTTCAATATATAAAATGTGCATATTTCTATTAAAAGAAGTTTTTAATTAATTTAATTAGTTTACAAAAAATATAATTTACACTATCAAAGTTACGTGAAAAGATAATACAATTCTTTTTAACAAAAGTTATAAAGGATTGATAACTTTTTATTATTAAATAAAAATTTATTTCATAAAAGTTTAAGCTTCAATAACAACTATAAAAAAGAAAATAATTAAAAACATTAAAACAAGAAAATTAAAACTTTCTAAAACAACTTAGTAAACTCTTTTTTTTAACAACTTTAATTTTTATATTAAATAAATATTTGCAATCTTCATCCATTTTTTATTCAAATATTATGCTTTAAATTTCTTTAAATAAAAAAATATATTTTTAACTAAAAATTAATAAATTTTGAAAGAATTAGAAATTTAGCAAATGCGGACTTTTTTAAGCCGGCCTACAGTAACAGACAACTCTTCGATCCTCTCATCGTTTTGTTTTTCTAATAACCGTTCAATCCTTAAAAAATAAATAACTTTAACTAGAAATTCCTATAAATTTAGAGGAAAATTGAAATACTAACACGCATAGTGGATTATTATGTAATAAAAATTATTTAATAATGTAAACTGACCAAAAACTTTTGGTTGAAGAAAATTTGAAATATTTGTGTTAAAAGTGTGTCATTTATAATTGAACAATTCTTATGGGTATAACATAAATAATAGAATTTTTATATACTACTAAGTTATATGATATTATAGAGAATATTATTTTTTTTTGTATAATAAATAAACTTACCAAGAGAGTATAACAACTACATTAATTATAATTAATGACTAGTTTAAACAAATTTTTGTAATAAAAATAAATATTAAATTAAACATTAAAATAAAGTGTGATTATTATATCAATAAAAAAGTATAATAATAATTAAAAGTTACTTAACCTACAAAGTGAACTCTTATTAAAATTTAAATACAATAAATTTATTTATAAAAATTATAGCTTACTGCTGAGTAACAAACTCCAAAAAAAAAAACTTTAGTTAACAAAATAGCATACCTCATAACTACCAATAAATTTTTATTATTATTAAATTGAAATAAATTTATTTTACTTCTAAACAAGATAAGATAAAAGGTAACTTAAAATAGTCTCCAACTCAGTACTTTTCATTATGTGTAAGTTAACGGAAAAGTTTTATCTTTATATAAAATGACTGATCTAATCATAATTATGGCATATATAGAAATAATCATACTGCTCCTGTTGAAGATATATAGAGGTCGAAGGTGGCTCTTTGGCAGTGACTTCACGGCTATATTTATTCATTGTTGACCTTTATTTCAGGTAAAGCTTTAAAAAGCCAGGAAGGAGCAGGTAAAGTATATTTTTATTTTATAAAAATGATTCAGTATTTTTTTTATGACTGTACAAAAGTAAAAGTCAGAAGGTCTATATATATAGGTTAAATAGACCTTAAAAAGCCAAAAACTAGAAAAAATGGTGGAAGCACAAAATAACGACTACTCAGCTATAACAAGAATGGTAATGAAATAAGAAAACCTTTAACTAAGCTTAAACTCTTCTTTAAAACAGGAACGGTCGCATAAAGAGGAATTTTTTAGCACCCAGACCAAACAACTTAACCATCATCTAAACTAGTTTCACTTTTCTCCATAGTCACAAGAGTGCAGGAACCAAGAAAACAGCACGCTATCTATAAACGGCAAAGAGTGTAGTGTGCGAGATAACGGCTTCTGTCTTAATAATTTTTGTTTGTTCAGTTGATAATGTTTTACAGATTCTAAGGAAGGCTTTCTCAGTGTGTATTAATGCATTTCTGAATTAATAATAATTTTTTAGACTGTGAATTGCAATAACTTTTGCTTCATATGACCTTGTAGACTTATTGACTAATTGTTCAGTAAATAATCATAGTATAAAAGGTATATTTAAACAAGTTAGAATACTCAACCTTCCAATTAAATAGACAATAGTAAATGAAAGTTGAAAGCAGGTATAAAAAATAGTATTGCATGTCCCGCAAGCAAAAGAAAATCTTTTAGAACTATTAGAGTTGCCACCCATTTTTTTAATACAGGAATTTACATCTTCAGCAGACAACGATATGTTTTTATAAAAATGTACAAACAGAACTAAATTTTTAAAAAACTACTTAGCTCTACTGTAACTAAAAAACTGAAAAGAAGGTCTGAAAGAACCTACAAAGAATTTTTATTTTCCTTAAGGAAAGGTTCTTAACCAACGACTGCCCTTTTTCAAGCGCGTTTTTAATAAGATAGCAGATAAAAAAAATTAAGACGGTTTTTTTTAAAAAAACTTCAAGCTTTTGTAGAGCTTCAATCCCTATATTTGAAAAAAAAAAAGAGCTCATTATTGATTGTTTCTAAATAAGTATAAGAAAGTTATTCCCCAGATACCTCATTATTGCATGCCGTGCAAACTAATCTTTATACTAATTGTAAACAGCAGGTTACGACTAATTTAAGGTCTACCTCTATTTCCTTGCTGCATCTTATACCAAAACAATGTTCAAAACCTATTTTTTTTATACCACTTCTTACTAACAAAAAACAGAACTTAATAAAACCAAACAAAATTATTTATATTTTGACGGATACAATTTACATATAAAGAAAGTAAAAGGAAGAAATGGGGGTTCTATTTTAAACTATTTTATGGCGCTGAAATACTACGGTCTACCATTTTGCTTACGAAGACCTTAACCGCTTAGTCGGAATTCTTTTATATTTTAAGTAAATCCTAACTGCCAAATTCTAAAATTCAAACTTAAAAGCCCAAGTAGATCAAAAGAGTGTCCTGCAGCCTGCGGTTGCCTTTGAATCGTCTATATTATTATTGCACTGGCCTACCACAGCCGTTATGAGTAAAAAAACTTGGAACTTGTCCACATTCTCCCATGTAGGAGAGGTTAAGAGGGTGGCCGTACTGAAGGGACGCTGTTCTGAAAGGTCATGTTTAAAGAAAAGTAAAATTGCCGATGGTAACACCATCTTTAAGTACACCTTTTTTCCTAAAGGTTTCAGTCCTTTGGTATTGACGCAATCTAATTCAAAAGACCTTTTCTTGCTTTTCTCTCTTTCTGTGTCACGTTAGAGGCGCTATAATTAAAAAGTAGAAAAATACTCGTTTGAGGGCTATATAGGTATGGAACTTTTAACATATTCTTAGGAGGGTATAAGTACAGGCGAATACCCCTTGTTTTTCTTGTCTTTTAGTTTTTTTTTTGTTACAGTCTGTCAATTATAACTAAGAAAAGTGCGTGAAGAGATCAGCACGAGAAAAGTAAAAGAGAAAAATCAATAACGAGGGTTTCCACGTATAGTTAAAATTTTGGTATTTATAGTTTTTCTAATTTCATTATTTAATAATTAAGATTACTGATAAAAATGTTTGGGAAGTTTCGTAACCTTTCAAAATGTTACAATCCTACTAGGGCTTCAAACGCGAACCTAAAGTTCCCCACATTTAGTAAAATTTGGATCCACGATAAAATTTTAGCTCTCGCAAGAGTATCAAGACAATTTCGGGGAAAGTAGTAGAAAGTATTTAACTTGGACTTCTGGCATTAAGCTTCTGTCAGCATAAAAATCCAACTTAGACGAAAGTTTAGAGTAGAGCTTTATTGTCAGAGTTTTTTAACGGGTTGATTATTTTACAATGGTTAGCCTTTACCAGTGGTTGGACACTACTTCGCAAAAAAGAGAAAGAGCATACGTTATTGGGCAATGAGCCTGTTGTCCTGCTCTTACACATAATATAAGTTACGGAAGTAGCTTGATTGTTACAAAAACGACTATTTAAAGGTAAGAAAAGTACTATTTACCAACATTGTTAATTATTTTCGTAATTTATTATTTTGTTTAATATACATAATACCATTTAATTGGATTTCGAATATTATCGTTCAGTATGCTCCCGAGTACCGGAGGAGAAGCCGAGAGGGCTTTTTTACTCTTTCATCTCCTACATGATTTTAGAGGTTGTTTATAAGTTTAGACAAGCATAATTATTCGCATGCTTACTGTACCTAACTTAAAGGGTTATTACCCAAATTATCTTCTGGATAGTAATAGGCGATAATTCAAAAGCTTCACGAGCTACTTGTTGATTTCGGACAGAGCGTCCGAGTAAGCCGCCACGCTAGACTAGGACCGTTATCTCCCTATTGCCAGTCAAACCGAGCTCTTGAAAGTTGCTTGCATTAACGAGGGGAATATGCTTAAGATCTTGATCAACAGTAGGAAGCTGTCAAACAACCCTTCCTGATTATCGTTTCTCTGCCAAAGAAAGAGTTTTTTTGTGATTACTTCTGAGTTGTGGAGTATTTATGGGCCGATGATTGATATTTAGAGGAAATACTCTTAGCAAAATTTTAACAATTGTTAAAACTTTATAACCCGCACAGATTTACGTTACTCGTCCACTCACCGCCACGATCTACTTTGAAAACTTGAACAGTTTTAACAGTTACACAATAATATTATTTTTTTATCAAAGGGCTTTAAAGAAGAAAATTCCTATAAAAGAAATAAATGAGCAGGAAAGGCATAAGATTTTTATTGTAAATTCTTTGAATATATAAATGCTTTCGAGCTAATTTATTACTTTAAAACCAAATTAACTATGACTTTTGCAAGGCAACTAGGAGGACTACGTGTTGCAAATAGAAGCGATAATGAAGTATAACCGAGGGCATACCTTTAGATAGATGTGTCAGTATGAAAGCATTACTCATCATAGCACTAATTTAAAAATTAGTTAGTGTACACCCTGAGTCACTTAATATTTGGAAAGCATTGATCATGACATACAAAACCAAAATATAATATAAAATAAAACCACTTAGTTAAAAGGAAATCTGAACTAAGTCAGCAACCTACATATGAAATAAAACAAAAACTATTAGTAAACCTATTAAATACTGAATTATTGACCCAGATATCCAAACTTTTTTTTTTGAGAGTTGCCATATATCATTTTTAGCTCTACGCGTAGTTCTTAGTGACTAATTACAGCGTTTTTAACGTAACACTGAAAGAGAAAGCAAGACAAGGTATTTAATGAATTAGCTTGCGCTAACATCAAAGAATTGAAGCCTCGGGTTGACGTAGCCTTGTAGTTATATGTACCTAGTTTAACATAGGGATTCGTTTATGGATATTAGGGTGCTCTTTCAATAATTCTTTGCCAGTCGCATACTCAAGTCATAACTCAATTTAACTATCTTCTCTCATCAAGCTATTCCAAATAATAATCTTTGTTATGCTCTTTACCTTGAATTGGTGGTAAGGGTCACTCTATTACACATGAAAAAACAACCAATAAAAACTTAATTGCTTCAAACAGTGTTTACCTAATAATATTTAACTATACATCGGAAGATAGAGAGTATAATAGTCAAAGGACAAAAACGAGTTTATATCCTAATAAAGACAAAAGAAACTTTGTCAATTCCCTTAGTGCCTGCAACAACTAGTTACGTAAATACAAGAAACATCTTTAACAAATACTACATTTATGGATACAGTAGTGTCACTTTTATAAAAGAGTAGATTCTTCGACGTCCTTTTTAAGATTAAAAAATTTGTCAATTGTCGCCAATACCGAAGAGCTAAGCGCATCACTACAACATTAAAATGATATATATATTAGAAATTAAAAGGTTTTATAATTTAGTCATTAGAAAGGCAAAGCAATGACAGAGAGGCTATAAAAGACTAAGTTAAATTTAAATTTCGCAAAAGTATTTAAGAACTTCAGGGTGAAGTGATAAAACTAATGCTTATAACAATCACTTCTTACAATATATGCTAAGTAAGGAAGTCATACAAATCTTATTAATGCAACCCTTTTATTAAATATAACACCCTGTGTATTTTTAATGAAATTTATAGTGAACTTCTAAGTTGCGAAGTCCTATTAACCTCTTGTCAACTTTCACTTAAGAAGGACATTATATGAAATGCACATTGCGGTGACATTAAGTGTCGCTATAAAAAATAAATTTTGTCATATTAATAAAGTAAAAACTAACAAGAAAGAGAGCTTGAAAGTTATAACGAGTGCCTAAATTTATTATAATCATATAGCTGATGTAATTGCTTTTATTAAAAATTATTCCTAGCTCACAGCATAAAAAATTTACAATCTTACAAAGTTATTACCTAGGAATTTTTTTTAAAATATATCTTTTCAAATAGATTATACCCCTAAATGTCTATATTAAAATCGATACTCGCTGGAAATTAGACAACAAAAAAATTTAACAAAACTTACAGCAAAGTCAAGCAGCTATTACACAAATTATTAACAACACAATAAAGTAATTTGTATAAAACAATCCAAAATAAAGACTAAACCCTCAATAGCCAACAAATTCATCCAATAATGTCACCATATACAAGTTAGTAAATCTGAAAAAGTCGAATACTGTACAGAAAATCTATAAACTCTATGCGAAAGATGTGCCAAGCAATCTACTAAAATTAAATGATAGTGCCTTTTTATACAGATATTTCGAAGAGGCAAAGTGCAACTTTGCTTGACCCCGAATAGTAAGACGTCTTAATCAACGAAACACTCTTAACCCGAACAACACCTAGAGAGTAATACTAACTACCAG